GACTCCTTAAATAGGTAATATAGAAAAGTTACACATGTAGCCAATTGTATGCTCTCCTATAGTGGTTCATTGAACCATAATACCGATAAGTAATTAATAAAAGTCAAAAGATCAAAGAGGTCACCTTAATACCAAAAAAAAAAAAAATGTTTAATTTAATATTATAAAATCTAAAATTAATTAATCTAAAATGACAGTTTTAATATTAATCAAATTTTAGTTTTAGCACTAATGTTTTAAAATTTTTTTTAAAATATTTAAAGTTTCTAAAAAAGTTAGTTAACATAATTTTTTTTATTTCTATTTGGATATTATTTAAACAGATCTTTGTAAAGATTTAAATTTCAAAAATTATAAATCCAAATTTGATTTTTTATTAAATTTGAATCAAAATTCAAATCAAATTTAAATCTTTTTAAAACACTTATAGATTAAACAAATAAAATAATAAAATAATAATTTTTTATTATTCTATTTAATATCTATTAAATAATAACAATATATTAGCAATATAATAGTAACATTACAGTAAAATAAAAAAAGAAAATATTAATATGTATTAGTAATATATATAATAATAATATATTAACAAAATAATAAAACATTTTTATTATTTTATTTTTAGTTTTTATAACTAAAAATATAAAATTATTTTATTATTTTGCTAATATATTATTATTATATTACTAATATTAATATTTTTTTTGTTATTTTACTATTATACTACTGTTATATTACTATTATTTAATAAATATAAGATAAAATGATAAAAAGTTGTTATTTTATTATGTATTTATTATTTATTTGTTTAATTTGTAACTAATAATGTTAGACATATATATATATATTTTGTTAAAAAAATATCAAAAATTTAAATATAATTTTATTTAAATTTTTCGAATTTCTTTTAGTATTACTTATATATTACAACAAAAATTATTATTTGAGCAACTTTACTTAGTATATGAGCTACTATTTTATTATTAAAATTTAGTCAAAATTATATAATATAAGCTAGACTTTTGTAATTACAACTATTAAACAATCAAAATCAAGATTATTTGTGCTTTTTTTGTATAACATTTAAGCTTAATTACTTTATTTAGAAAAAGCATAATTTAAAATATAATTGTTATTATAAAAATTTTTAACACTACAAGATCTAATTTTAAATGCTAATTTCAATTTTAAACAGGTGTTAACTTCAAATATAATATTAATACTACAAAATTAATATATAAATTATAAAACCAAATATTATTAAAAGTTCTTTGAATTTGTATTTAAATTAGAAATTTTAATAAATATTTATTTTATTTATATTGCTTTATAAGTTACATAATAATGTAAAATAATAATTAAATTGAAAATTATAAAAAGATTTAAATTGTAAAAAATTTGCATATTGTAACAAATATAATATGATTAATACATAGTGTCAAACATGACTATTAATAATTAAGTATACTCAATTACTTATTGACTAACTATACTTAAAACTTTTTTTTAATAATTAGTTTGATTAAACAGATCAAATAATTAATCATTTCTAAAAATAAAAAACACTATTTTAAAATTATATATAAACATAATAAAATTTTTTTATATTTAATTTTATAAAAAATTATATTAAGTAAACTAATTTTAATTATTAAAATTATAAAATAAGTTTTTCTAATTCTAATGATAACAAAATTATTAAAATTAATTAAAAATTCATTAAAATATAAACTTTTAAAAATTAAAATATAAATTTTTAAAAATTAAAATATAAAATTATATAATAAACTTAACTTATAGATTAACATATATTAATCAATCAAATTTACTATTTTTGTACTATCTAAGCAAATTTTAACTCACCTAAATAAACTTTATTATATATAAGTATATTTTTTTAAATTAATATAATAATTCAAACTTTTACTATAATAGATAAATAATTTTATTTATATTATAAAATTTTTTTATTGGTTAATTAAAAATAAAAAAGTTTTATTAGTAGCATATATCAATTTTAGATAAAAATTTTAATATACCATAGAAAACTATATAAAAATAATCGATTATAATTCCTAAACTAATGCAAAACACCGATCTCTTCACGTTCTCTTCCTCTAATGACATCAGGTTCTGTACCTTTAAAGTATATATCGGTCCAGATCTCAGATTCATCAGGAAGTGGATCTTTTTGTGCTTTTGCAACTGCCTCATCTACAATTGTACGAGCCTCTTTTTCATAATTCTAGAATTAAGAAAATATGTATTTGGTTTACGAACAATTCAAATTAAACAGCACATCTATAACAGAGATCCTTAAACGAACCTTTAAATCAGTCTCTGTTGCAAACCCAAATTCCAAGATTCTTAACCTCAAACCAGTGATAGGATCATTCGTACTTCTCATGTGTTGAATTTCCTCTCGTGTACGATAAGTTGTACCAGGATCTGACATCGAATGACCCCCATAACGGTATGTTACCATTTCCATTACTAATGGTCCTTTACCACTTGAAGTCCATTCTTTTGCCCACGCACATGAATGCTTTACTGCTAGTACATCCATACCATTTACCTGATAATTAATTAATAGAATGATTATTAAATTACAACAATGTTAAAATTGTCTTATTTAATACTGGGTATGATAATGAAATTAGTATATACCTGAATACCTGGAATATATTGACCTCGGGTATAATATTGCGTATTTGCAGAACTCCTAGCAGCAGAGGTTCCCATGCCATATAAATTATTCTCGCAAACAAATATGGCAGGTAATTCCCATAGTTTTGCCATATTAAAGGCTTCAAACACTTGACCTTGATTAGCGGCACCATCACCATACATGATGAATGTAGCATTATTTACACCTAAATATTTTTGGGTAAAAGCTATACCAGCACCTACTGGAACCTACCAAAATATATATATATATATATGTTATAGTTAAATAAGAATAAATTATAATTAAAATATAGTAATGATATATATATACCTGGGCGCCAACAATACCATTGCCACCATAAAAATTTTTTGCAAACATGTGCATAGAACCACCTTTTCCTTTAGAAATACCAGTAGAACGGCCTACATATTTATAAATTTTAATAAATTAAGTATCAGTCCAAAAATATATATATAAATACGTACTAATAATTCAGTTTTATCAAATTATTTATCTACCCATAAGCTCAGCAAGAATTTGATGAACAGTTCCACCACGCAGCAAAGTATAGCCATGACAACGGTAAGCAGTTATGATCGCATCCTCACGCGTAATAGCAGCCTCCATACCCACTCCCACAGCTTCCTTTGATAAATAAATTCATTAATTATAATTGTAATTTAAAATGAATAAATTGAAATATGAAGACGACCAAATAAAATTACTTACTTGACCAGTACACAAATGACAAAAGCCTCTAATCATCTTCATCTTGTATAAATTATCAGCAGTAGTTTCCATTCTACGTATTAAAACCATATTTTTGTACATTTCAAGTGCATCATTTTTTTTTACTTCAATTTCGAGTGAAGGTGGATCACATTCATAAGTTTTAAATGAGGTATTGGGGAGTGTATAATTGACTGAGTCTGAAGTAGACGCCGAGGCAAAGCTACGAAATAAAGAGCCTCCTCGACGAACGGAACCTCGCGTTACTACTCGAGACACAGGTAATAACATTCTTAAAAATTTAAAGTTGGAAACCGAATAGTATTTTTGCGCCACCAGACAAAAGCTATTTGATCTGATTATTTCTTTTTATGGATAACTAATGGCTGATCAAAATTAGTTTTAGCGTTAGCGTCAGTGTTGGCCGTTTCCCAATAACTACGTAAAAAATTTTACATGATCACGTGTCTGAGAAAAATTCTTGTGTAATATCAAATATGCACAATTACATATTTTCTTAATTTAATACGCGAGTTATTTAATGTGTCAAAACAATAAAAAAAGGTATTTAAGGTCCTTTTTTTTCTTTTCCAATTTTTTTTAACATTTCTTATTTTTTATTTATTTGTTTTTATAATTCTTATTTTGACGATATATGTTTTTCCAAAATCGGGTTTGGGTTTTTAGTTTGTAGCATAAAAATTGTTGTGCGCTTACGTTTATTCAGTACGTATCATGTGATTGCAAAATAACATACCTTTGCATTACTACGAGATATTTACCCATGTGTGTTATTTTAAATTTATTGCATGGGTATGTAGCAAATAACTGGGAATGGTAAAAAATCATTTTTCACCAATTTAAAGCATGTGATTATTATAATTATCGCATGATTTAATCGGTGAAAATGATTTTTTACCACCTTATAAGTAGGGCTGTTAAAAGTCCGATCCTATCCGTCCGGACTCCTCAAATAGGGACTTTGATCAGGACTTGATCCTTAAGTCGATCCTTGAGTTATGATAACATGATAATCTCTATCGTTATCGTTATGTATTAAAAAAATACTTATTATCGCTAAACTTATCGTTATTATTAAAAAACTAACACTAATTATTATTTTTATTTTGCATTTACTTCAAAACTTCTGCCTCAGACCAACTTTTAATACACAGAGTGGCTCTTGTAGATTCTTCAATAAGACTATTTCTTGTAAGATTTATTGTATGTTTTGTTACAGAAAAAGCATGCACACATGGAATGCTTGTAGCTTGCAGTGCAAAGTAGTTTGTTGCCATTAAAGTTACATTTGGAAAATGGTAAGCTTTCATTTTCCATCACAACAATGGATTAGTATATGATTCTGTGGGTAATGAAAAGTAGTTTACTAATTCATTTGGTGAAGCTTGATTATCTTGACTTGACTTTCCAAGATTCTTAAAATACTTTAATGGATCTTTTCTAAGTTTTATCGTCATTTCATTCATAAACTGAAATGAATACGAAATCTTCAAACTTTCAATAGCTAACTGATGATCTTCTTTATTAAAAGTTTTGAATTTAGTAGACAGATCAAGTAGAGTTGGAATAGTTGAGGATTCTGAAAGATAAGTCCAGTATTTTAATATTTTTTTTTTAATTTCTTGAACCACTTCATGATATATAGTTACATTTGTAGTTTTATAATAATTATTAAGATGGGTTAGGAGTTCTTGGAAAATTATTCGTAATGGATCGTGTAAAGGTAATGATGTTTTTGACAATTTCAATGTCATCTTATAGAAAGGTTTAAGAAACTGAACCATTTCATTAACTACTTTCCAATCTTCTGTTTCTAAGTAGTTTTCTTTTAAATTAGGACAAATTAGTACTAAATAGTCTATAATGTTCTTAATTTCTATAAGTTATTTTAACATAAGATAGATAAAATTCTATCTTGTTTCAACATCAAGTTCAGGATGAAGAAACAGTTAATCAAAAATTGTAAAAATTCATTTCATTTCTTCTAGAAGAGTAGGTGAGTTTCTAATTTTATTGCAGATACACTGTGCCTGTTTTATCTGTTTATTAAAATGTTTTTGTCCTTCTTTTACAACAAGGTTTAAAATATATACAGTACATCTTATATACAGAAAATTAGGATTAATATAGTTTTGAAGATAATGTAGCCATGTTTAGTTATTTGACACATTATCACCAGTAAAGCCTAGAATTTTATTTTTTATTTCTAGATTTTTCACAAGTTTAACCAATTTTTCTCCAAGATATATGCCAGTATGGAATTTGTGTAAAGGTATAAAGTTAAGAATAAGAGTCTTCATCGTCCATTCCGCATCTATCCAGTAAACCATGACTCCAAGAAATTGTTATTGATTACATGCTATCCAAATGTCGATAATAAGTGCTAGTTTACTGCGATTTGATTTTAGTGTATTTTTTATTTCTATTTTCATTGATTTGTATTTTTTTTTGATAGTCATAGAGACTGTTTGATGACAGAGTAGCTTATACCATAAATCAAGGTTTGAAATAAATTTAATAAAAGGATCTTTGTCAACTATTGAAAAAGCTAGTTGACTTTTAACAATTAATTCATATAGATCATGGTTTAAAGATTCGATATGTTTCTTTCTAACTTTATCTATTGTTGAGTACATGACATGAGTAACTTTGGGATTTTTGCGCTGAAAATCTCTGTAAAGATCTGGATGTTTACTTTTGAAATGGCATAAAATTGTTAACAGAGATGTACCTGCACTCCATTTACTAGGTTTGTTGTCAGAGTCGTCAGGACATATTTTGCAAACACAAGTGCCATTTTCATTAATTTTAAGGTAATCGTAAATAGGTGATGTTTTTTTTTTGATTTTTTTGAATCACTAATATTTTTTTCATTTGGAGAACTACAATTATTAGTAGGTTTATTACTAACATCATTTTTATTTGGAGAATTGAGAACTAATGAAAAAATAGGACAGGACATGATTTTAGAGATTTTAATATCATAAAAAAATTTTTTTTAAAAAATGATATGTAATATCAACAAAGAAAAATGATAGTCTTTTATTTGTTTTATTTGTTACATACCATAATAAAAAAAATTTAATAAACCTTTATAAAATTAAAAGTTTTTATTAAATAATTAAATTGCAAAATTAATATACAATTAATGTGAAATTAATATTAATAATTCTACAAAACCCTTACAAGACTAATTCTTAATAGCTCCCCTCAAAGTCTAATTTTAATGGTTCCCTCACACAAGACTAGTTCCCCTCCACCAGACTAGTTCCTCCTGCAAGACTAGTTCCTATCTGCAAGACTAATTTTTAATAGTTCCCCTGCAAGACTAATTTTTAATAGTTCCCTATGGAATTTTATATATCGGTGTAAATTAGCTAATTAAAATGACCAATTACTGGAACAAAGGACATGCTGACCCCTATATTCGAACTTTGTCTAAAGTCGACTTCGAGTTGGTTCTAAAAAGTCTTTGAGTAGTTGACTCAAGGACTGGGTCCTACAAGCTTTTTCATAGCCCTACTTATAAATAACCTAATTATATGTGAGTTATTACTTAACAATAACTATTTTATTGTATGTTGTTTGACACAACAATTTCGTGTAATAAGTATATAATATGCAAAATTTACATTTTTGATACTTTTACACTTTTAAAATTTTTATTATAAAACATGCAATTTTATTGGTAATTAATTCTATGAAATTTGTTTTGTTGAAGCAAATGATTAACTGATATGTGCTGTGTAATGACATGTTTCAGCCAATGATTTGCTCCAACAGAACAAAATTTTATTGTATACCCAATATCGATGTTATTATGCAATTATTTTTATTATTTACAAGTTATTGGCTAAGTTTTAATTTGGAAATCTATAATTATAAGAGTTTTCTTCAGTCTTATGTAATTACTAAATGATTTTTATGCAACTTATTCGACTACTCAAATATATTCGTCTCATAAGAGGTAAGTCTTGTTTATATAGAAGTGGTTGAATAAGTTTCATGAAAATTATTTAATACATGTCGGATAAGAAATCATTAGAGCTTATCAATGGTTGCGTAATTGTGTATCGACATAATTACATAGTTTTTTTTTTTTTATTTGTAATCACTTGGGCATATTTAACTAGGTTTTCAGTAAGATAATTTTTATTCTTTTTTTTCTGCTAATGTGACTTTTTCTAGTTTTTTTTTCATTTCGTCCTGTTTGAAAGAATCAAAATCTGGAGTTTATTGATAAGTAGTCTGTTGAGATGACAGTCATATGGATGTCATCAAGAGAAAAGGGCACCATGATAATTTAAATATGAGTTCAGTAATAATGTAGATCGAGCTTTCAATAATGTTAATATAAAATGTTTATTAATATTAAAATTTAAAGTCTGATCTGCATTATTGCAGAACTCTAATTAATTAGTAATATACTTAAATAGCCGAGGTACTCTTTTCCATTGGTGGCACTAGTGTTACAGCCTAAACTGAAACTTTCAGCTAGGCGAAACTTCCAAAACCTCCAAAACCTAGTTTTGCCCAAGGTGCCAAGTCCGAAACATACAAAACTGGGCGAAACTGGGTGAAACTTAATCTTATGCCTATCAAAATCAACATAACACGTAATGCAGACTTTGTTTGATATGATGATTTCTAAAAGTCACTGTACTTAAAATTGACCAATAGAATTTCTAAAAATTCTTTTGGTCAATTTTTAGTACAACAGTTATATAACGCAGACTTAGATATGATGTGTGGAATTCACAGACTGTCTTAGGGTAGAGTGTCTAGAATTATAATGCTGCATAATATGTGCATAATTTGGCCTATACCGCATATGCATTATGCATTGCACAAATTGCATATTTTGAGTTATTTAACATAATAACTGCATAATCTATTAAAATTGCTTACATTATATCGATATATATTTAAACAACTAATCATAATCATAGTTTATTGGCTAAAATGATGCACTAACATTATGCAAAAGAACTTTATACAACAATGTACTAAATTGATATGCAAGCTAAGCCCCCATCGAACGATCTTATTAAGAAAAAAGTATTTATTCGATTTAGTATAACATCTGTTAAAATAATATTACTTTGTTGAGTAAAGTGTGTAGTTATGAAAAAAAAAATATGAATAAGTTAATAAATAAATTAATAGAATCACAGATAAAGAATTATAATGATGTAAAAACCTTTATTTGATTTGCCTTCTTTGTTTTTTTGTTGAATAGCTCAATAAGAATAGCTATATATAAAAGATAGAGAATTATACTAAAAAGGTGTGTATGGCTAAAATTCAATGACAGTATAATGAAAAAAAAGACGAGTTAATAAGAACTTTCGATTTTGTTCTTTTTTTTATTTAAAAATTTGTTAAAATAAGAGGTCAAATTTCTTTTGTAAAATCATCTCCTTATATATGTAATTTGCTTCTTATACAACTAATAATTAATAAAAGTCTATAAATAAAAAATTATAACACTCTTTAAGTCCATAAAATTTTTTTAGTTATAATAATACTCAACTATAGTTGTAGACTGTACCAAATCGATTCTCTTTCTAAACTATTGAGTAATCTTATATGTCTCTTTATTTTAGTGTATATAGGTTGACCATTTGGTTTACAACAATATAAATATTTAAATAGAACTAAGATTACTGTTAATTTGATCTTATATATAATAAGATTATCTACTGCTAAACGTGCCCAAGCAAATAAATACAAAAATGAATTCTATGCTGATGGTGGCAAACTTTTTTGACATGTTTGTAAAATTACTATTGATTATACTTGCAAGTCAATTATTGATAACCATCGTAAATCAAAAAAACACCAATCAAATTTAAAACTTAAAAATACTATTTCACAAAAATTATATTAAATTACTATTACCTCATGTCATAAAGTATTAAGTAAACATGAACAAATTAATATTAACTTAATAAATGCTTTAACTGCAGCTGACATTTCATTAGAAAAAGTAGAAAAATTAAAGATTATGTTTTTAAATAAATACTGTAATTAAGGTTAGTAAATTTAAACTTAAAGTTTAAAATTAGTTTTATTTTTATATATTAAAAAATAGATTTTAATATATAAAAATAAAGCTAATTCTTATATTTTAAAGTTAAATTAAATTAAAGTTTAATTATAAAATAAATATCTTAATTAAACATATATTTAATAGGTGGTAGTATTGTTGGTTCTTGTCAATTAAAAAATAAATATCTTCTGTTAGTCTTTTTACAAGCTAAACAAAATTTATTTTAAGAGTTTACAAATTAATATGTTTTTATTACAGTAGATAAGACAACTATGTGTGACAAAAATGTTATTAATATATTGTTTAGTTTTGAAAACAAAACTAAGTTTGTTCAAATTTCTCACTTAACTTAAGTTAATAGTAATATAATTTCACATCTTGTTATAGATGCATTTCATTCATATAATATTTTATTTGATAATACTATTTTTTTTATTTCAGATAATGTCTCATATATAAAAAAGGCTTTTTATATTCTTTCTTATTTAATTCCTTACTTAAAACATAATGGTTGTTTAGCACATATTTATAACTTAGTAGGTAAAAAATGGATTACTTATAATAATTTTAAAGGATTAGACAACATAGTTAATAATATTAAAGAAATATTTTCTTATTCTTCATCACATAAAAGAAGATGACTTGAATTTTTAATATTAAATGCTAAATCAGATCCAAATTTACCTTCTATTGAAAATTTAATTGATTTAGAAAATTTAAATTTACCAAATACTATTTGTCCTACTCTCCCACCTCTTCTAATTAAAACTAGATAGAATATTTATTTCAATTTATTTTTTAGTTAAATCCTTATTTTGATATTTTTGCAGATTTTATTTCTAATGAAATAAATTTAACAGACAACAAATCAAGCAATGCATTTAATGAATTAAATAGATTATTTCAAGATCAGGATCATATATTTTTTTTAAAAATAGTTGCAATGTTTATAACTTATAATACACAATTATATATATATATATTTAATATTACTTACTTTATTAATATTTATATAAAAATTATTAATAAAATATATTAGTTTTTAATCTTTTATTAGAAAATATTAGTAAGAAAAATTTGCAAATTTTATTCAATAAAAATTTACAAGTTTTTTCTTGATAACATAATTAAATTATATTTACATAATATTAAATATTTAATTTATAAGCTTGTAAATAATTTGAAATTTTTTAAAATCTGAAACAAACCTGTTGCCTTATATGTTGCTTTTCGAATTGAACAAACCCAAGCATTTTTACAAACAGAAACAATTGATTCATCTTTAAGTACTTAAATAAAACATGAATTTAATATTAAAAATATAAATACAGAATTGTACAAAATTATGTTTCAGGAAGCTTTTAGATTAACATTAAACAAGTTTAATAAGCATATTATAGAGCATTCAGCACTTAAACTGTTTAAAACTATTCAGTGCTTTGAATCTCGATGGATTCAATAACAAACTACTAAAAAAAATTTTACTTCATATTTAGAAATTCCAAATTTAATGAACCAAATAATATATTAATTAATGAATGGAGAATATATTGTAACGAAAATGAAATTTTTGAAGAAAATTTTGATTTAGAAAAATATTGATTAAAAAAAACTTATATTTTACCTCATTTAAGTAAAATAGCTTTAAAATATATTTGGGTTCCAATTTCTGGTATTGATGTAGAACATAGTTTTTTAATATACAAAAATATTTTATCAGATAGATGACATGCACTTTCATCTGAAACAATTGAGATGCTAAATATGTTATATTTTAATCAAATTGATGATTAATAATAATAAAATATAAATATGTAGCAAAAGTGTATATTTTATATAATTTATAATATAATGCATAATTATAAGCATAATTTAAGTAAAAAATTCGCATAATTTGCATAATTTGCATAATTTGTAATTTGCTACATGCATAATTTGACTTAAATCGCAGCATAATTCTAGACACTCTAACTTAGGAACAGTGCGATCACATGATATATGAAATCCCCTTCCCTAACCGCTAAATAGCCAATCACAACTTAAACACGTGATTTGGCACTGTCCCTAAGCACTGTCCGCCGGATACGACGATTTCTAAAAGGCACGTGACCGCTGCACTTAAAATTGACCAATGGAATTTCTAAAAATTCCATTGGTCAATTTTAAGTGCAGCGGTCACGTGCCTTTTAGAAATCGTCGTATCGAAGTCTGCGTCACGTGTTATGTTGATTTTGGTAGGCATAAGATCAAGTTTCGCCTAGTTTCGGACGTTTCGGATTTTGGGCGAAACTGAAACTCAAAATCCGAAACGTTTCGGACTTGAGTAAAGGCGGCACTCATATGAGTATTGCATTCGTACTCAATAGCTCGCGTAGATGTCGTTGGTTGGAAAGAGCGTAATGAGTGAATAGTCATTGTTTAAGTGAATATCAATGGGTTTTGGCCTGTCGGACGCAGTCAAATCCGAGTCGTTTAGCGAGCGACCGTTCAAATTTGTAGATGATTCCGACATAGTTACGCTTGATTATCAACTAATTGTATCTCAAATGTTAGTAAATGGTTATATATAATAAAAAAAAAGATGTGGAATGCTTGGGGATTCAAAGAATATGTTATAAGACGAAACGAAAGCATCAATTCATCCGTTAAATTTACTTTCGTTTCATAGAAAATTAAACTACCCGAGCTTCTAAAAAAAGTATTGTAAAATGTATAAAAAAATCATCTATCAATTATGTAACTATGTCGGAATCATTTACGAATTTGAACGGTCGTTCCTGTTTAGTCGTTTAGTAGCATATTTGTGCACATTACGCTCGAGTAGGTATTGCTAGTGATTAGAGCATAATGAGTGGAAGAAGCTTCGAAATGCGGCTTAATTCATAACTAATGAGTTTTATTGACACTTTTATCGATACTATCAAAATCTGCTTGATGTTTTGGTATTTGCACGAAAGGTGCAGAGACAGAATACTTGTAATTGTATTTCATTGCTTTAGAAACACCTCAATAAGAGACGAAAATTTAAACGTATAGTAAGCACATATACTGATGTGCGCTATTTTTATTTATTTTATTAGCATAACGTATTCAAGATTACTTCAATTCGTGCCAATAAAACTTATTAGTACAGAGGCAGATGGTGTTGAGTATTTTTATAAGCTTAGTAATTTGAATTGGATGTGATTTGTAAATTTCAATTAGAATATGTTTTAATTTACAAATTAAATCAAACAAAATTAGTTAAATTGCCCAACGCCAGATGTAAGCTGTAATAGATAGATTTGTATCTTTTTTCAAATCCTTTTGTTATGGTTACGAAGTTGGTTACAATGGTCAGAAGATAATTAGTATTTAATTAAATTTTACATGATAATGATCCTTCACCGGTGTGCAGCATATTGTGAGCCCCGGAATCGGTACACAGTTATCATGGTCACACGTGACACATGATCGATCGTCGCATTTAGGTCCCGAGTAATTGGCACATGAAAAGTAAGAGAAATCTTACTTTTATTACTTTTATTACTTCGGGTAGATCGATGGCATATAGAATATTCGGTTTTTCTTATTATAGTAGGGATAAGGTCTTAATGGAGATATAGCGTAAATAGGCAATGTAGAGGAAATTAACCTCGAATGTGAATAAAACTTTTATTATAAATGAAGGGCTTTCCGCCCAGGGGGAAGAAAAACAAGCGATACCCCCAAGTGAATACATTTGCATAATAAACTTAAGTATCTGACCCACATTAAAAGTGAAACTATAACCCAACACAAACTAATAAACTATCGTTAAACCCTCATATCCATATCGTTCGCCCATTTGTAGCCCACTAAACCGCATTTTGATCGTTCGCCGTAAGTCACGTGAGCAAGCCGTTAATGCAAGAGAACTCCAATTCCGATTCGACGTATTGTAATCCCAGGTCAAGGAAGTAAAAGAAGATAAGAGAAGGCAAGGGTTAATAGAAGAATAGGTTGAAGGAAAGACTTAGAAGAGAAGATTAGTACTTACCTACGGATAAACCAACCAGCCAAATCTAACACGCCTATTTCGACTTAGCCGCCGTAGGTTACATTAGAAGTGGAAGGAATTAGCGACAGACTCGCCGAATACCGATCTACAATATAAAAAAATTATTTTACAATACCAGACAATTCCACTAGTACACGTTATGATTATAATAAAATGGTGTGGGATTATAATCATAACGTGTACTAGCAGAATGATCTGGTATTGCAAAATAATTTTTTTATATGTTGCACACCGGTGAAGGATCAGTTGTGTAGCATCGACGGTTCCTTCTGTTGATAATGATAACAATTTGGTATAAGTTTCAAGATATTATACAGCAATTCCTGAATTTATATAGTTACGGGACAGTAAAAGACATTCAATCTATAAATATAGGCGCAATTTTTTCGTGCTTATATAATCAATTCCGATTGGCTAATTTTCATGTAATTGATTCTGATTGGTTAAAAAATATAAATATTTTCTTTTTCTATATTAAGCGCTAATTTTTTGAACTCATATAAACTTTAATCCTTTATACCTTTTTTAAACCAAATAATAAAAAATCCTCTGACAGAAATGTAGTTTATCTAAAAATTTATCAATTTGCCAAAGGATTTTTTAACTTAACTGGTTTTAAAAAAGTTATAATACTTTAAAAACTTTTATTAACATTGGATGTGTTTTACTGTCCAGTTAGGGATGACTTGGTTGGTTACGGTCAGTTATTGGTCGGTCATTACTGGTTAGCCAGCTAGCCACTGCTAAATAACCGACTATAGCTGATCAATTATTTCATCAAATATATAAACCACTTTTATGTTGGATTAATAATTGTGTTTGAATTTATGTTACACCAAATTATATAATTCACTATTGGCCAATTTTCGTCGATCATCACGTGAGCTTCAAATAAATATAAGGAATCGGGCAGTTAGGGACAGTGCGATTCACGTAATATTACTAAAACCCTAACTAACTATTCATGTGATTTGAACTCATAGACAGAAGTTCATCTGATTGGTTAATTTTTATAGATCTACCCGTGATTAACTGTGATTATTAACCAATCAAATTATATCGTTTTTAAAAAAATTATTGTTCTAACACTGCTAGAAACGAAAAAAAATTTCATAAAGATGCCTATAATTTAATACGTATATACAAAAGAATTCACCACCTTTAATAAAAAAATAGATATACATAAAGTAAGCAAATGTGATATTTATTACTACTGTAATATCTCTGACTTTACTAATAAATCTGAACTTATTAAAGAATTTACGATATCTGATATATGATATAATCAAAGCTTTAATTTACGATTAACTAACCCAAACATACTAAAAAGAACAGACAAATTTAATATTAAATCCAGACCTTTCTGCTAAAGAACTTGTACCTATTCAAATTAATAGCAGTAAAAATTTTATTTAAATACAACATAATAATTAATAAAGTTCTTTAAGATGAAAGCATTCTCAGTTACCTTCATTCATTCTATAATATAAATTCATCAGTACAATAGACATATATTGTTTCTAATCAGAGTAAAATCTTTTTGCATAATGAATATTTACTGTTATTTAAAGCAGCAGGTGGTTTTTGCAATGATTTTTTTTGTTAGTAAAATGTTTGAAAAAGTATCTTCAAGTTTCTTTTTTATAGTCATTTTAATAAAAAGTTACTATTAAGTTAATACTATTTAAATAAGATCTTATTAGAGATTATTTTTAAAGATAATATTCTGACCTTTTAACAGTGTTCTTTTAGTATGTAACACTTGATTTTTTGAAAAAGAAATTAAAAAAAAAGAATGGTAAAAGGTGTTAAAAGAACTAAAGACAGAAACAAATCAGTTATAAGTTATATTCTGATAAAGTGAACAGAAAAGAAAATATAAGAAATATTCAAAGGTTTTGTAAACCTAAATCTAGAAGTAGAAAAGATACTGACCAAATGGAAAATAGTACAAGTTTACTTAATATTAAAGGATGTCAAGTAGGAATATAGTCTAAACAATATTCAACCAATAGTATTAATAAAAACTTTTAAGAAAGTTGTAACAAAAGTAATAACAAAAAGGTTAGTCAAAGTGTTTATAAAAAAAGAAATACTTAAAAGATTAAACAATACAGGTCTTTTAGCCAACTTAACAAAACAGTCAGTACATATTCTTAACACAATAATGAAAAAAAAAAAAAAATAAATAAATGTTTTTGTAAAACATATTAGTATTATGAAAAATTAAGAGTAGGGAGCATATCAATCATTTTTCAGATGACCTATATGGTATATTGAAATTTTATATAAATTATACAAGTTATCATTAATATAAATCTTTGAAGTCACAATTATATTTTACGAAAATCTCATAATATAAAAATCAAAACCTTTATTAAATGTGATAAAATTTTTAGAAGCAATAGTATTCTAGAAAAATATACTTACATATATTATAAAGTTTCTTAGATTAACTCAAAATAACTTAGATAGTACAAAAAAATTATTCCACTAAATTTCTAGAATAAAATAACCTATTTAATCATATTTAAGAAATTTTTGAATGCCAACCTGCTACTTT